CCCAAAAGCCTTCGCACCATGCATAACGTCACAAGTACCTTATGAGCAAAATAGCTCAAATTATGGTTCACGCTGTATGTTGCCTTTGGAGAGGAATTATGTCAGTCCAAGTAAGTTTGGTTAAGTGTGTATACCAGAGATTTATGCAGTTTTGGCAAAGACTGTCTTAATTTTTGAATTGTCCTTGCTACTACAGAAATCTGAACTTAGTTGCCAGACTAAAATAGTGGTGCTGCTTCTCAGCACTGCAAATATCCTTAGCTGAAATACAAAGGAAAAGCTTTATAAAAAAAGTATTGGTTTAGATTAATATTTGGCTACCTGCATGAAAACTGAGTGATGTCTTCTTATGAACACAGAGCAAGTGAATTTTACTCTGGACTCTCTTGCACGTAAGTGGAGATGAAGTCAAAGAATGTAAAAATGAAGATGCTGGGATAGATGCATTCCAGTCACTCTACAAATGGAATACTTGAATAATTGCATTTACCTACAAATTTAATGTAAAATGCTGATGTGTGCAGCTCAACATCTATATTCTGTCATTAAAATCTTTCAGCTGTTTTTACCTGCATTTGTTTTTAGAAGTCATAAAAGCAAAACAATTCCAGAGATTGTATCTCTAGTGAAACTCCAGCTTCAGTTTGCTATTTTATCTCTTGGGTGTTTCCAGGATTTGGTGACTGTATCTGATCTTACACTGTATACCACAATAATATCTGGAAAGCATATCTAGGAATAATATCTAGGTTTAAGAATAGAATGAACCCATGAAATCAGAATTCTTTGTTTCCATGAATGTTAAATTGAATTGTCTTAATTGAATGCTTACTGGACTGATGTGACTCTCATATAGATTTCAGGATTACTTATTTCAGTTAATATAAAAACCGAAATACTCTGATCTCAGCTGTACCCTTAGCTATTTCTATGTGGCTCTGGTTCATGTTAGTGAGTGTCACATATGTATCTTTGAGAGGAGAATTTGACCTGTTTGTAATTTGTGTAGAACTTTTCAGCAGGCTTTCCATACTTTGGAAAACAAAAAAGAGTGAAAGAGCAATCATTCCTCACCCCTTTCTTTTGTTATGGTCCTGTGTGGGATGGAGCAATGAAAAGTTCCTTCTCTGGAGCTGCATCTTATTCATGTCCCCACTGGTTAGAAACACATTTTTTGCATAGTAGCAGCTCTTAATGTTGGATGTTTGGCTGTTAAGTATGTTTGGAAAACAGCAGCTGCAGGCAGTGGGACTGTGAAGATGTGGCACATGTCTGACTTGGTGCGCTGGGGTTTTCAAGTCTGAGGAGAAGGCTGCGGCTGGAGGACAGGGAGGACATCTTGTCGTGGTTGTACTGCCCACCATGGCAATAATGAAGACGGATGTTACTGAAAATAAAGGAGATAATTTGGCATGGATGAGGAGCAAAAACAAAGGCAGAGAGTGAGAGAAGAATGCCTTCCCTTGGAGGTGTGGTGCAGGCTGCACGGATTTCCTGCTCCAGCAGAGCTGCCTAGATTAAATTAGTAATTACGGTTCCCAGTAATTACCATTTCTCCTGACTTGGAGAATGCTGTAATTAATGTGAAAAGTAACTGATAGCTTTTGTTGGCTTCTAGCTGGCTGGTTTAATTTAGAAACTCAAATAATGTAAACCAGGTGACGTGCATTTGCTCTGCCCAGAGTGGATGAGAAGCATTTGCAGGTGATTACTGCATCGGTAGGTCCTGTCTGCTGCTGTCATGGGCTCCCTCTTACCCGTGCTACAACTGGGAGTTCAGCTGTTGTGTGAGCTGCAGGAGCTACAGGGATGTTATAGCCAAAATGCCAGTGTAGGCTCACATTCCTGTCTGGCATGCTTTATGACATTTAGATGCAAGCACATGCTGTCCGTGTTGTTATTGCATTTTCTATTACTCCAGTGGTTCACAGCTCCTGTGGATCGGAGACCTGGTACATTTGCCCTTTATAAGCAGAAATAGAAACATAACCACTGTCCCAGAGAGTTGTGTATGTAGAAAAGAGAGTGCATATAGATACAGGGAAGTGACCCGTTTCAGCCTGCGTTCCGCAGCCAGTTTGCACTTTCTTCAAAACTGGGGGGGAAAAAAAAAGCCCCAGGAAAAGATGAAACAGCTTTGTGATGGTTTTGGGGAAGCCTGTTCCAAAGCTAAAGGGACACATGAAAAAGTGCATGTTTAAAATAATAATGGAAGGTGATTGAGCTATGCTGATCAACAAGAGGAGAGAAATGCTATCTCTGAATTTTGGGTCAGATTTAGGACAAGAAGGGCATGGTGGGCTGAAAGTGAGGACAGGCTGCAGGTACATGATGTGATGTGGTAAAAAGAAAGGCAACAGAGGGAGCAGAGAGAAAAGTGTTGTGGTCAGAGTGGCAAAGTTGGAAGTGATCAATTAGAGCATCACTTGTGTTTATCAAGAACTGAGAAAAGAATGTGGCAACTGAGACAGGAGATAGGTGTACAGAGAACAGTTTTCCCGTTTGTACGTGGCTGCATGTGTCTGCTTACACATGTGACTTTTAACTGTCTCTCGAGGTTTCTGTTGCTCGTTCTTCAATTCTGTTGTTCCTGGAAATAATGAACAAGGTGGTTTGGGAAACCTCAGACTTGGCCACATTGGAGGCATTGGTCAGTAGCTGACATGCACTCAGCTTAGTCTTCTCTTGTCTTCCCTCCTCCCCTTGCCAGATGCTGTTGTGGAACAGAGTTTTCTTTCCTTGGATAAGTACCACTCTGTATTAAGTATTCCTTAACCTGTTTAATGCTTTCTACTGCAGTTCTGTAAAATGGGGCAATGAAAGTAACTCTTATCCTCTGAAGTAATTAGCTACATAAACCAACTACCAGGCATTATTCAGTTACCCAGGTACGGTTAAATAATGCACAGTGTCTGTTTCCACTTGTAACATTCCCTGTATGATTTGAATCAGTGAATCCCAATGGCTTCTAAGCTGGGAAACTGATGTTCTTGTTGCTCTTCGGCTTTAGTACATGTGAAGGACGGAGAAACTGTGTGACAGCAGAAGAGCTGAGTCTGCTGTTGTATCTGTGTAGGGAGCCTGACCTGATTTTGCACTGCAGTCTGCTCCCCAGACACCAGGACAGGAGTGAAGAACAAGGTGGGAAAATAAACCAGGCCTCCACGCAGAAGCCATGGCCATGATTTCATGTAGCACACAAGCGCTGGGCTGTCGGAGCTGCACAAGGGCTGCTATTGTTTCCAGAACAGTTGTATGATCTCTGAAGAGGACCCTGTGCCAAAGCAGAGAAGTCCTTACGTGCCAGGTTCATCTGTCGAGTCTAGTTTCAGAATGCTTTTTTGCAAGTTGTTTTATTTTTTCAGTGCCCATCATTACTGTGTCTCGCCTGCTAGATAAAGCCCTCATGAGGGATTGAGATGTTTTGACTGCATCCTTCTGCAAGTTCGAGTTGCTCCTTCCATTTCAGCTTGGGTGTATACATAGAAAACATTTTGTCCTGAGTGTACGT